TATCTCCTTAACAAATTTTAAGTGTAAATACATTATTGTCAACTCCAGGTGCAATGTTGTACAGCAGATCTCTAAAGCTTGCCCATCTTAACTGAAATTGTATGCCTTTTAAAATGGCTACCATTTGTTAATTTGTTTGCTTAAGATCACCTAGAAAGATCCCCCTCAACTCATTTTCCTATTACGTGACAGGCACTAGGTTGGCAGTATAGGACTGTTGAACAGGAGCTAAGGTGTAGTTAGTTGGCACGTTCACAAGGGGAAGTGAAGTTAATTTGGATTACCTCATAGCCCAGAACTCTTCCAGTGTTTCTATTCCAGGCAATCGCATTCCATGAAACCTCCATTTCAGAAGCAGAAAAACTCTGGACAGAAACTCCCCCTGGGGCCAGTTGAGGTTCTACCATCCAGAGAAAGATATAACCATTCTTAGCAGAGTGGAAAACAGAATGCAAGATATGCATAGAGTCTCAAGGAAAACCATTCCAGATGACAACTTACCATCTTCCCCAGAGTAGACAATGGACACAGTACTCAGGGATCCTTCTCCTTCATTATTATACACACCCACTTTGACTTCAAAGGGAGAAAGTGGGATGATGCTTTCATTTCTGTAAACAAACCTTGATGATTCCACAGATGCTACTCTTTCCTTGGTCCAGGTTGTCGAGCCGACTGGCCGGAACATGATGATATATCCAAATCCCTCTCCATTCTGTAGCTCTTCTGGAATTGACTTGGGCAGAATGTGATCAATCACTGAGTATTTGCAAAAATATTTTAGTGAGCTATTACAATGTTTATTGATTATCTGGCATTTCTTCCACAGAGACAAACATGGGTATTTGCTCTGTTTAATGATGAATTTAAAATACTTTTATTTGGAATGCCAATTAGAAAAATAATCTCAATTAAAAGCACTCAGATAAATAGTTGAAGCTTCAAATAGAAATATAAAACGGGCTTTGCATATTTATATCTTTTTCCTTGATCACTCATAGATTGTCATAATAAAATAGCTTAGAAGATTTTATGATATAAGCTGAAATATAATTTTGATATGAATTTTTAAACTCAGCACAAAATTAACTTATTAACTATTTATTTCAAGGCTAGATGTTTTCCTTTCACAACATTTTCAGCAAATTCTTGTAAGATGTGGGTAATCATTACATAATAACATATGCTTTAAGACATAGAGTACTTCTCAAAAAAAAGGATAAAAGACTTTCCAGTATTTTTTAAGCATACATCTTCATTAGTAGTAAAATCAGGGTGCATTTTTCCTGACATAAAAAATACATTACTAACTCATGTAGAGATCAAATTCTTTATAAAATACGTTTCAAATCTAAAATTATGAAACAGAAATAGAGACACGTTTCCCAAGAACTCTACAGATAATAAAAAAATCATAAATATTCACATAAACTAAGCAAATTAAAATGAATTTGTGCTTGAATTTAGTTAAACATTCTAACTGATTACAAGAAACCTGTATTGAAAAGTCAATGGATTTTATTTGTTTTTTCCAAAGGAAAATGCTTTGCTTTTCTTCGGTTTTCTAAATATTTTGGTAAGACTAATAAAGGCATACGTGACAGGACACAGTGCTCCGAGTCCCCTATGCCCATAACTCCGTTTCAGAGGTGTCCTTTCCCCTTGCCTGTAGGAGTGCATTCATGGTATCACATCATCCTGCCACCCGGAACTCATCTGATTACCCAGTTGCCAGCACCAGACACAAAAGGTGCCCCTTGGTCAGCGTCTATGCAGTGCTCTGGAGCAGAGTCTTTGTAATCTGTAGTAACTAATAGACTCAGTGGATTCCTTTCACTTACAGAGTGTGCATATGAAACGCGGTGGTGTGGGAGGGTGCGGTAATACATAAACATAGAGCTGGCAGTAAGTAGAAACCAGGCAGCATAGGAACACTGAGGCAATGGAAGCTAAGAGAAAACAGAAGCTGCACATTAGAGAGAGAGGAGACAGAATTTAGCTGGCAGCCAGGTAGGAAACTGGAAATAAAAGAAATGGGGAAAAGTGAGGTACAAGCATGAGGGACTATTCAAGCCAGGGCTGGGTTACCAGAGGAGCTAACAGTTGGCTAGAGCTGCCGTGCTCAGGTGCTCGGAACAGTGATGAACGATGTTCCGGTTCTTCATTTGACCTGCCTGCTTGGTGGCTGAGACTTTTTCCTGTCCTCATTACTTCCCATGTAGCTTTAAAATAAATCCCCATTAACCGATATGACCTGAGCTGGTCTCTATTTCTTGCCATGTGCAACAATCTAACAAATACAGAAAGTGAAGAGGCGAAGAAAAATACAGCTACTGACATCTGGGGAAA